GTGTGTGTGTGTGTGTGTGTGTGTGTGTGTGTGTGTGTGTGTGTGTCCTAAAACAAGACAAACAAAAGCATTCCCAGTCCATCCCGGGTGCAAACTCTTGATATACAGTAGTTTTTGGGGTTTTGTTTTGTTTGCATAAAGACGCGATAGACAAAGCTCCACTGAGTGATGACCCCTCGTTGCCACGGTGACGAGACCCAGACCCCAGCATGGGTCTGGGTCTCGGGGCCCCTGGTGCCGCCAGTGTGGGATGCCAGAGCTGTGCTCCCTCGATCCCTCCCTCGCTCCGTCCCGTCCTGTATTAACACACATTCACTCAAACACTGAGCAGAGGAGCAGGATGACTCTCGTTCCCTCAGAGGACGAAACGTTTGAGACAAAAGTTTGTTGTTTCAGACCGAAGATGGGATTTGCATCCAATGCCAACATAATAGGCTCATCTTCTTTTGCGGTTTTTGTGTGCGTGTTTGTTTAGTATCTGATTGTGTGTCTGTGATGCCCTTCAAGTTCTCCAAAGGAAAGTTCTGGTTGGAGCCGCCGTCAGAGAAACAGAGGAAGCAGCTGGAGGAGGAGCTGAAGCTGAGCGGCACAAACCTGAAGAGCAACGCCTGGTACCACGGACACATCCCCTGGGAGGTCTGCCTCACAACACACACACACAAACACACACACACACACCTCTATGGTTGTGAGGACACTTATTGGCATTATGCCTAAATATAAACCTAATTCTAACCTTAACACCAAGCCTTAACCCCCAAAGCCAAAATGTCCTCACAATGATGGTATAGAACCAAAATTGGCCTCATAACTATGGAAAGACATGTGTGAGGCAAGTCTGGCACGCCTGCTAACCAAGCCAGGTGAAGCGAGAGCAGTTTCCTACATTTCCTACACCTGTCAGACTTGATGGACCAATCGCAACAGAGTGGGCTTTATTGGGAGATGGTCCTCAAAGATACAGGAGCTTAAACCAAGTGTTTCAGATAGAGACTGAAAAGAGGAAGAGGAATAGGTTTCCTCTAAAGGTGCTATTTGTTTTGCTATTGCTACATAGCCAATATTAGCAACTTGTCACATAGATTACTTTAAATTGCCTCCTCAGGTGTCAGAGAGCCTGGTGGTGAACCATGGTGACTTCCTCATCAGAGACTCTCAGTCCAGTCAGGGGGACTTTGTCCTCACCAGCCACTGGGAGGAGAAAACGCTTCACTTCCTTATCAGGAAGACGGTGGTTCAGTCTGGTGAGACGTATACCCGGGTCCAGTACAGCCTGGAGGGTGAGGCCTTTGACACCTTACAGGCCCTCGTCCACTTCTACGTGGGCAGCAGGGCGGTTCTGACCCGGTGGAGCAGCGCTCAGATTTATCAGCCAGTGAACAGGACGCTGCCACTCAGTTACCTGGAGATGGCGTTCTGCACTGTCGACAGCGGGTCGAGTAGCGGCAGCACGTGTGGAGAGGAGAGGGTCCGTTCAAGGAGGTGAGGCTTCACTGACAACTTCCAAGAAAGCATAGGACTGGTTTAACTGTTCACTGTTATGTAGTTATGTGATTTAAAAAGCTCAGTGCATCTGTCTCTGTCCTTGTCTGTCTCCATGCAGTCCTTCCTCTCTCCACCACAGGGGGGCAGAAGTGAGCAGAGGACAGGACGACCAGACTTCTGTAGAATCCACGCTCTCGACTCCAAACATCATCAACAGTGAGCTTACTGCCAAACTGAACTCTTTATCCTATGATTCAAATAATATTTGACAAAAAACAACTTAGCCTCAGCTTTAAGTATTTATTTTAAACCAAAACACACAAGAAAAGAAGTGAAAAAGGTTTGTGGTTATGCTCAGAGGTGAAATAAAGACCACAAGTTATAAGCAGACAGATGAATAAATGCATAAACATGATCTCTTTGGCTGTGTGGTGCGTTTGGGTACACTAAGGCTTGTTTGGTTTATATCATGTCCATGACAAAAAAAAAATATTATTCTTTTCTCTCCACAAAGTCAACATTCAAAAATGTGACTTTGCAGCACATTCAGATTCAGATTCAGATTTATTTTCATTGAACGTGATTCAACAAAATTTACATTGCTACTCCCCGTGGTACAACATAAAAACAACATCATTCCTTTTTGAATTTGCTCCTAGTAAACACTCTCCGCCACAAAAACTTCATTGCCAAAATAAAAGCAGTAATTACTGCCAAAATAACGGTCAGAAGAAATGTCATCACATCAATCGAGTAGTACTGGATCATGGACATCCTATGAGACTCCGTCTTTAGATGCGGAGCTCCCTTGTGCCTCATTACAAACTCCACCCAGGATATATCATGGTCCAGTGGTTCTATCGGCCGATCTCTGTGCAGGCTGGACAACGTCTTCATGTTCTCCCTGTAGCTCGGTACATACAGTACCTCTTTGAGCACCGCCAGGAAGTTGTGTTTGTTCAAAGTTGAAATTTCCACGATTTTAGCCACACCTCTTACTTTCATCCTGAATAAATTGTGAGGCTGGTCAGATAATAGTGGGATGCCGACCAAGGGGACACCGTGGTAGATGGCCTTCCCTATTCCATTGGCGCCTCCATGGGTTATAAACACTCTGGTCTTGAGGTGACCCAGGAGGTCGTTTTGAGGCAACCAGTCCAAAAGTACGGTGTTGTTGCCAAGAGTGGATGGTCTAACATGTCTCGTTTGATGCTGTCTATTATGTCTTTTGTTTTACACATCATATCTTTTATCATTTGAATGGCCCACAATATAGCTGATCTTTAAAAAGAGTTAATAACAATCCTTCTTTGCCCTGTCTTCTTCCATATCCAGCCCCACAGTCCAGAAGCCCTTGCCACGGTCAGACAACCAGTGTGGCTCCATCTCCATCCCTCTCTCGGAGCTTGAACACCACCCAGCCCACGTCCTCCCCGAACAGCACCCTCAACAGACGGTGTAACAATAGACACCATCCTCATCAGAACCAGGACTCTCCCTCCTCTGATACAGATGGAAGCTGCTATACAGAGCTGTACCCTGGCCCTCAGAGCTATGTGGAGAGGCTGTGGGCAGAGGAAGGGTCAGCGGTGGTTGATCCACTGAGGGTGGAGGACAGGAATGTGTACTTTTCACCGGTAGTGGAGGCAGTTTCTTCTTTCAAACCGAGCAGGTACAAGTCGCAGCTGATGCCTGAGGAGAATAAGCCTTTGGAGGTGGGCATACTGCGAAGAGTGAAGGAGCTTTTAGCAGAGATCGACCCCAGGACTGCGGCTAAACATATCACCAAGGCTGACTGCATGGTACTGTTTAAGGCTACTCTAATCAATATTGACTATTTTGTTTATTTTATATTTTGGGGTCGTCAATCCTGATAATTTCTTCAAATTTGCCAATCAAGGTTAAGGTGGACTTAAGGATGAACTAATTAGATTTCTAAAAAGTGGGCTGTTACCTCAGAAAACACATTTTTGCCCGGCTTTTTGGATTTAAAGTTTGCATAACCTTTACATACACAAACTACAATTACCAGCCTGTGGTTTTAGGGCCCCACCAGCCAGTGCAGTTTCAGTCCACCACCTTAAAGGTCAAAACATCAATGAGGTGTTTCCCCGTCCGCCTCTGCACAGTGTATCATGCAAGTATTCCGGCTCTGGGCTTTTCCACTTCCTTTGGAATGGTAAACCAGGCCCAATGACAAAAGCACCTCTGGAAATTAATAGGAACAAACAAAGGACCTGACTTACTTCTTTAAAAAGAAACTTCAAGTAGGCATTACAGAGGCGCCACCAAACAAATAACCTTCCCCCCACCACATAGTCTTTTAATTATTATTGCCAACTTTTATTTGTAGTAACAAACTCAGACCTTTTATTAAGGGCCCTGGATGGTGATTGGCCAGCTCAGTCCGAGGAAACCAATGAACAGCCATGACTGAAGCCAATCAGCCTGAAGAAACTTGGAAAAGCATGAGGGGAATAAAAAACGGCTGCCTAACATATGACTTAGGGTGATAACATAGGACGAGGTGCTGTGATGTGACATAAGTGGGACATGTCAGGACATCTTTGACTTCATCTCCTTAACCATACAACTGATACTTGCTAAACACAATAAAAATAAATGCAAACACTGCTGATGGGTTACTGGACATTAAATCACACATTGAATCTCAAGAACCACATAAAGGAGAAGTCCAATAATTGTCTGTTTCTCAGGTGGCCAGAATTCTGGAGGTGACTCCGGAGGTGCAAAGGATGATGGGAGTCGGTTCTGGGATAGAGCTGCTCACGTTGCCACATGGCCAGCAGCTGAGACTGGACCTTCTGGAGAGGTGATAAAGAAATCCTTCAAACTGCAGTGTTTTGACTGACACGTCACTGTTTGCGGTCAAGGCAGCGTAGAGTGACTTGGGGTGATCATAGAGTATCTATGTCTTTTACACGATAAACAATGGCAGAGGACAGGCTTGTATGTATCACATGACATCGCTTTATCTACTTTTATGTACTTTTACTTTATGTATCACTATCTGTTACAGCAGATGCAAAGTTTGTCATTTAAACTTGTGAAAGCAATGGTCAGTGTAGCTGAAGAAGAAGAAGTCTGCCTGTTTTGTAATTAATTCCGCTAGATCTAGATTTTTATTTTGATCTGAACCAGGTTGCACACACTCATTGATATCAGTCCCATCAACATGCTTGTTTTTATTTTCATCAAAATCCATGAATCATGCCACTGGAATTCTGTGAAAATGTCACTGACCGCAGTGAATGAAAACTTCCTGACGATATCTCTCTCTTCAGGTTTCAAACCATGGCGATCATGTTGGCGGTGGATGTGTTGGGCTGCACTGGGACAAACGAGGAGCGAGCTGGTCTGCTTTACAAAATCATCCAAATCGCTGCCGAGCTCAAGAGTACCATGGGAAACATGTTTGGTTTTGCTGCCGTCATGAGAGCTCTCGAGCTGCCGCAGGTAAACATGCCTCACTCCGATTGGTGGATGCAGGTAGTGGTTCCCTTTCGGATATTTAACCAGGTTTTCCGTCTTTCAGGTGTCCCGTCTGGAGCAGATGTGGACGGCGTTACGGCAGCGACACACAGAGGGCGCTATTCTCTACGAGAAAACTCTAAGGCCATTTATGAAGAGCCTCAACGATGGGCGAGGTAGAGGTCCTTCTTCACATTAAAACTATCCCTCAAACTTGGTTATTACATGACTCCTGTTTTGCAGAGCACACCTCTCTTCTTCCACCAAAGCTGACTGTGTGTGCGTCTGTCTCCCCTCAGAAAGTTGTCCACTGTCCAACACCACCTTCCCCCATGTCCTCCCCCTCTTGTCTCTGCTGGAGAAGAGTGTGGCGGTGGGTGAGGGGACAGAGCCATGGGAGACCGTGGAAGTCGGTATGGACGTGGTCATGTTCCACCTGGGGGCCGCGAGGACCATCGCACAACTGGGTGGCATTTATCAATCCAACGCTCAGAGCAAACTACAAGGTTAGCAAAGTCATAGGAGGACAAACTGGTGTTGGTCGGTGTTCATCAACAACACTGCTTCACACGGTTGTCAATTTAATCTCTCGTTAGATTTGTAGTAGTATAATCGACAAAAACAGGCTCTGTTGTGTTTCATTTGTATTGATTACAAATGATTACTACGATTGTTGGTTGAAATCTTAAGTCTTCACTTCCACAATTTTTCTTTACACCTCCTCTACGCACAGAGTACACTGCAGCCAGTCCATGTTGGTTAAGCTTTTACCTCCAAATAAACCTCTATTTCATCTAAAGTCTAAAGCACCTGGTGCGGTTGCATCTAGGGCATATAGAAATCCCTTTGGTCACTTGTACTTGTTGTACTTAACCTCTAGTCATGGTTCTGTTTTGGGCAAAGCATGTAATAAAAGAGAGTGCCATCTCGCACTTCCTCAATAAGTCAGGTGTGCGTGCACCTTGATATATGGTTGTTATTGGATCTATCAGGTCATAAAGAATACTACACTGCAGAGGGAACAGTTTCACATTGTGGTTGCAGGATAAGAAAATTAAAACTGCATCAGTCTGAAACTAGCAGAGACATAAACATCCTGCTTGGTGCCAATTCAAGCAGGATGGAGGCTAAAACAACATTTTTGGCCAATCACCAAAGTGTTACCATAAATAAAACTCTGATAAGATGCCCCGATGTTGCAGGTTTCCAGGAGCAGCCAGAGGTCCTGGAGCTCTTCCTGACCGACTTCCAGCTCAGGCTGCTGTGGGGTAGCAGGGGAGCCCCGGAGAGCCAGGTTCTGCGATACACCAAATTTGACCAGGTGCTGACTGCCTTGTCCAACAAGCTGGAGCCACCTTTCAGATCACACTGACCTCAGAGCTGGATGAGTGGCCTGTCATATTCTCCCTCGTCTGTCAATGGAACCTCACTCAAGGGCTTTTGGAAGAGAATGCACACGACGCACTTGATCGACATTTTGACTTTAGACATGTAAAGCTGACATCAGTGCAGCATGTCTGTCGGACACTTGAAAGGGGAAATAAACCTTCCTGTAGCTTTTTGATTCAGATTCCTGATGAAACTCAATTACAGGCTTCAAAGTGGTTCTGATCCTAAATGGTTCTTTTTTTTTTTACTTTGTTGGAAACAAAGCCCAACTGTTCTGACTCGAGGCAGAGAGAAGCCTAAATTTTTGCTCTCCCCCAAAGTCAAGAGTTGCGGACGACCAGACCAGAATCCAGAGTTTGGGGAAGATGCCACTCGAAACAAGATGGTGCACATGTGGAGAATTAGTAGTCTCATTTTCTACCCTCATTATTGTCTTCATATAGCACTAATCCCAGTTTATTGTCAATTGAAGAATTAAACTTTAACATTTAAAGGTGCTAGCACACTTTACTTATTGTGTTTTAGGGATGCAAAGTCAACAATCACTGATGGCAGAGGCCAATCGATTTGTTGAGCCTGTAGCCGATTCAGAGAAATTCTAATAGTTGGTGCTATAACCATGCATAATAACCTCTGGCTGTTCCAGGAAAAAGAGTTATGATAACAATACGATGGAGTGATCGCTCAATCAAAGACAACTGATCAGTTTTTTTTTTAGAACACAGATTTCTTTGTTTCCCTGGTTTACTGTTTGAGATGGAATAACATGAAGGAGGTGAAAATGAACTGACCCTAAATACATTGGTACATCATACAGGTACACAACATTTCTACCCCTTACATAGTGTTAACGTCTAATCTATATCTATATATATAATAAAATACATGGCATTCTGTGATACTATGATATGAGACATATCCAGGTCCAGAATTTCCCAATCTGTGCATCCTTAATATTTTAACGTGTCTGTTTCACAGTGAACTCAATACTAACATCATGTCAGATTGAGTGTAAACATGTGGAGTGGTGCTTTTGTTCCTGAGATGAGGCTGAGCCTCAGTGTGTTGATTGGTTAATATATAGAAATGTTGTTGACCTTAAGGCTGGACCTTCCCCTGAATTTACAAGTTCACCAACTGTATCTTATATTGTACAACCAAATGACATAATAACTTTGTATCTGCATCATAAAATTACATTTTATTTGCATTGTGACTACTGTAATGTGTTCATTTAGGGTTTTCTACTTTAAAGTGAATATTTGGTGTGAGTGGGGAACAGATTATTGGTGCTGTTCAGTTTCAGGTTTGTTTAGTTGGCTCAACCAAAATAAACATTACAAATCACCATCAGGCATTTTTCCAGAGGTTTCAGAACATTCAAATTAAATTGAACTGTTTAACCAAGACATATGTTCGAGCACCTACAACACTGAATTAGGGAACTGCAAACCAGCAATGCATTGACCTCCCACAGCTGCAATTCTATAAACTGCACGATCTGAGGACGTTGACATTGTGAGGAGCAGTCAATGGAAGTCTGCATCTCAGAAGAGACAACCGGCTGCTGTGACTGTTCAGTCAAGACTGAAAGACTCAAAGTGACAAATGTAACTGCAGGTCGGTTGGACCATCTTAACTATCTTGATTTAACATTTATATTTAACCTTCAGATTTCACATTTAGACCTTTAAATATTAGACATAACAGTTAACATTCAACTTATATAGTCATATAGTATTATATAGTCGCCGAAGGGCTTGCTCATTGTGGGAACTGTTTGGTTTAATAAGACAGCTTCGGACTCTGCCACCTGTGAGAGTAGGTATTCAGTTCAACTTAGTTTAAAAACAAATTAATAAATAGAATAAAAAAGGCACAGAGGTAATGACGTCTGATCTACTGAGCGGGCCACGTGGCTTTCATAGCACTGACATACAAGCCAGTCAGATTTACTTTTAGCCTCTCTCAACGTTATTGTGATTAATAGGCTGAAACACTCGATGACACCAAGGTACAACTGAAGTTATTCTTTTCATTACAACAACCTGCTCCGTGGCTCAAAACCATTAACTCAATTACCTTTTTATAATAATTTATTCTTGTTATTATCATTTATTCTTTCTATAATAATTATTTTTCCTGTGGAGCACTTTGTGACTTTGTTCGGATAAGTGCTGTACAACTGCAGTTATTATTATAGGACACGAACTTCCATCTCTCTGACGTGTGATCCTCCAACGTGTCCAAAACATTACGCCAGACCCGAGATGCTTCATGGGAAATGAAGTCCTCCTCGTCACACTCTTACGTGTTTCTCCACGACTTCCGGGAAGTAAGAGAAACTACAAACTGAGCGGTGGCCGCCGGGAGAAGTCCAACATGTTGGTCGCCCACTGTGCGCTGGTTTTATTCCTCTGCCACTCGGCGTGCGGAGTTTTCCAGAAACTCTACTGCGCCATTTCCGAGAGCTGCGACTGCGACTTCAGACCGAGCATCAGAGGTGAGGGCAGCTAACCCGTTAGCCTGCTCGCTAACCCGAATGACTTCCTGTTAGCCTGCTGGCTAACCCGAATGACTTCCTGTTAGCCTGCTCGCTGCACGCACAGGATTAAAGTTCGTCTGTTCCCCTGAACGGAAACTCAAACATGGCTGATTGGTTCAGTTCGTGTGCAGGAAGAGTTGACTCACCGCCACGTTTGTCACCGTGTCCACAAAGAGACCGATCCTCACTCAACAGCTAACATGCTATGCTAGCCCGAAGGGGCGGGGCCACTTGCCCGAGCTGAAATCTGATTGGCCACTGACCTGTCAATAATATTAAAATTAAACACAAACAATATTAGTATTTTTGTGTATTTAAGTATTTTTATTGAGGTGAGATGACGGTTACATATTCATACATTCATTTATTTATCTCTGTAATTCTATATATTTATTTTTATATTTATTTATTCATTTGTTTTCTTTTTCAACATTTAGTCATTTCTACATTATTATTATTTATTTTTGTATTTCTAATTGTATTTGTCTTTATTTCTGCATTTATTTATTCACTCTTGATGTTTTACATTTATTCATTTCTTCGACTGGGATCAGTTCTACGCGAGCTTTGTAGGAAATGAAGAAATAAATGTAGAAATACAGAAATAGCCTTTTCCATCACAAACCCTTGTATTTTTTCATTTGTTAAGAGATGTCATTATTTATTTCTGCATTCATTTATTCATTTATTTTCTCATCTTGCCCCAGAAAATGAGTATAATGAGGATTATGTTTTAACATTGACATCACGCATGTCTTTTATTTCCCTATGGCCAGACTTAGAGTGGGACCTCTACAAGAATGTCTTCGGACAACACCTGGCCCAGGACATCATATCAGAGGCGGTGGCCGGCTTCCTCCAGAATAAAAGCCCCGATCGCCCCCTGGTGCTGTCCTTCCACGGCTCCTCTGGGACAGGGAAGACACTGGTCAGCTCCATGCTGGGAAATCATCTGTATGGCTCAGCTATGAGCAGCCCATATGTCCACCAGTTTGTTCCAACGCTGCACTTCCCAATGCCTCAACGGGTCAATGAGTACAGAGTAAGTGAGTCTGAAGGTCTGAACCAGACCAGGTGTGAAAGCTCCCTACAAGAAGAAAACAGAAAACACGTCGACTCATATGTCAAGAAAAATGCTAACATGGAGACAGTACAGTGCGCTGGACAGAAAGATTTCACCAGTAGTTCATCACCATCCATCTCCCTCCTTTGGTTTGCAGGAGGAGTTGAAGCTCTGGGTGCAGGGGAACCTGACGGAATGTGCGCGCTCCATCTTCATTTTTGACGAGATGGAGAAGATGCCTTCAGGCCTCATCGATGTCCTGGAGCCTTTCCTGGGTCCTTCTCACGTTGTGTTTCGCACCAATTACCGCAAGGCCATCTACATCTTCATCAGGTACAAGTTCTTCACTGAGACAGAAGAATCAGGTCATATAAATATGTTTTCAATATAATAATCTGTGTGATTTTCCTGCAGCACCACCGGAGAGGACGTGATAAACAAGGTGACGGTGGAGAACCGTCAGGCTGGACGGGACAGAGAGGAGATCACGTTGGCCGACCTGCAGGACGCCATCGCACAGTCAGTCGACAACAACAACACCAGTGAGTCACAGCGATCACCATTAATAGAAGAAGAAGAGATACTTTATTTATCCCTCAAGGGGAAATTCTTTTTTCACTTTTTTTTTACATGCATTTTAACCCCGAACCACACACACACACACACACACACACACACACACACACACAAAGGACTCATAGACATGCAATGTGGAGAGAGATGGTGGAGTGATGTCTGCGCACCGGTGATAGTGACACTTGGAATATTAATGAACTTTGAATAAACAGGTGAACAGATCTCTGTGCAGCAGCCGACAGGCAGGTTTACAACCGGACACAAACGTTCATCTGGACTCACAGATGAACTGATTAGAGTCGAGTGATTTTTGATTTGAGTTTCTTCCTCCAGGCGGCTTCTTCCACTCCAGCATCATCCAGCAGAAGCTCATCACCCGCTTCGTTCCCTTCCTGCCGCTGAGCCGACGCCACATCGAGCGCTGCGTCCACTCGCAGCTCTGCCAGCGGGGCAGGTGTGGCCGCAGTGACGTGGTGGAGGCAGTCGGACACGACATGATTTACACTCCCGCCCCAGGACAATACTTCTCCACCACCGGCTGTAAGGCCGTCTCTGCCAAAATCAACTTCTTCCTGTGAGCCGGGGGTCAGACGGGTGTTGACTGACAGGGAACCTCCTTCTGAGGTGGAAAGAAACAGAACTTTACGTCTGTCTGAGTGAGTTTCTGCCGCATGGAGTTCAGAGCAGCGGGTTTGGAGCCAGCAGAGATTCAGAGTCAAGGATGCCTCCTGCGCTTTGAATCAAAGGGAATCAAACCCACAACCCTCAGTGCAGAGTTTCCCTGAAGACGTTGTTGCTTTGTCCGTGGATTTTTGTCCGTCTCTGAACACAGGAGAGTTTGTTCCCTGAGCTTTGTTCAGCATCTGAACCGGGACACGTCTCAGTCTCTACCTCAAACCCAACTGCACCTGTCGGTTATGAAGTTGGTTTCACATATAATGTATTTTAATATTCAAGAGCGTTCTGAGTGAACCCATGAACTCTCTCACAGTGTTAAACCTTAAAATGATGATACAACAACAAATACGGGAAATAAAACCCACTGAAAATAAAATAAAAACATGATGCGTTTTAAAAAGAGATGCAGCCGCACAAAGTTAAGTCTGTATCACTTCCTGTCAGATTTAGGAAATCCAGAACAACTTTTTTAACTTAAAGCGAGAAACTTAGAACTTTTAGAAATGTGTTGAATTATCGGATCAATAATTGAAACATGAGGCTTTTCCCATGTGGCTGATTTATTGGGGATGAGTCAAGTCAAACTGAGGTGCTGCTCTAAGAGTCCAAAACTATTTTTTTAAACTAAAGGAAGAAGCTGATGGATTTTACTTAGGGCTCTAATCTGGGTGCACGTGTGCACTTTAGCCACCAGGAGGCAGTAAAGACTTAATTTTACCAAGCGAGGAAGAGGAGGTGCAGACTTCACCTGCAGCTCAGTGCCTTTTATTTCTTCTACTCACATTTAACAGTTTAACACTTTTGTAATTTAGATATTTTGTAAAATAAAATGTGTTGTAAAAGGCGACAACACTGAAACTGCACTTTAGTTTGTAACCTGTTGGATTATCGAGCCATTTTTAGTCGTGAAGTTTAATTTATTATTACAACCAATTAACGGTTGTGAATTCTAGTTTCTGCATTCGTTTGTGACTGTATGAAGAACTGCAGCAGAAAGTCGTGCAATAAAAAAAGCATCAATTTAATGAAGCAGCGTGTCTGTGAACTCTGTTAATTCACTGCAGATGTCAGCTCTGTTGATTCAAACCTTTAACAATAAATCAGTTTTGTGAAGCAACAATCACAGTTTCCTTTTTATTTTCCGGCTTGTTTGTGTGTTTTGATCCTCCCACTTTGAGCCTCTGAATATGGAGGCCGTGGTGTAAACCTGTCGTCAGTATTTAGAAGGTGTCTCATGTTGTGTAGTATCGACACAGTGTGTTGGTTTGAATCCATGTTCCTGAGTTTGCCGCCCCTGCAGCTCCGAACAGGAAGCAGAGGAGATGCGATCGCTCTCTGACAGAGACATAGCTCCATTATCTGCACCAACAGGAAATTAATAGTTTCTCGGTCGGATATGAGCAGGTGTCAGAGGTCTTCAGTATTCTGTGTGTGAGAGGGACACTGTCAATCTTTACTCCTGTAGGAACATTGGCTGTGAAGATGTTTCTCATGTTCCCACAGCAGAGGAGGATTTCAGTCCGTTAGGGAACATATTCCACAAAAGACAATAAGAAATGAGACAAGGAAGATTTTGCATTTTGAGAATAAAGTTGAAATGTAAATTAAACCTTTTCTGGAGTCCAACCTCTTAGAATCAGACACTAACATCAGCAGGTGTGACTGCTTCTCGAAAATGTCCTGTGTGGATGAATCTGTTCAGTTTTAGTAAAAAGGAAATTCTTTCTCCTTCAGCTCACGGTGATGATCTGTGTTTTAAAGATCGGGATGAAAACTGTTCAGGAGGAGGAACCAAAGTTTGAGTTTAGATCCAACACATCACATTTCAACTTTATTCACGAAATACAAACCGTCAGTTTTATTAACTTTATTCTTGAAATAAAAAAAATATCTTCCTCTGATTTCCTTCGACTTTATTCTTGACTTAATTCATGATTTTAAAACTATTCTCAACTCTATCAATGACATTTATATTCCAGAAAGTTTTCTGATTGAAAATCGACATATTTAGATCCAGGATTCAACCTGGAACACGAATCTCTTCTTTTCATGAGACCTTTTGGGTTCGGAGCAGGAAACTTCACGAGATACTTCAGCTGCACCTGCTTTCTCTGCAGGGACTGAATGTAAGATGTTTGCTTACACCGGCGTCGGCCCTCATCACCAAAACATCTAGAACCTCCTCGTCTTTCCAAGTTGGCGTCTTCGTCTTCTACGTGTACGACTCCTCGTCTTCATCCTGAGAGATTTGTGTTCTTTTGGTTTCTTCAGTTTCACATGAAAACACGCTCAGTGAATCCCGCAGGACTTTTCCTGATGCTTGGACTCAGTCCGACATGTTAGAGGCCGGAGAAACTCAACGTCTGAAAACAGCGTTTGACTCATTTTCTCAGTCGATGTTCAGACGCCATTTTATCACCTGATCCAGTTGACGACCACCAGCCAACATCGTCCTGTGATGACTTCCTGTCCCACTAAGAAACCCACTGCTTCCTATTCACACACATACATTTATACACACATGCAGACACACACGCCACATCTCACCACCATCCTGCCGTGATGACTTCATTACTCCACCGCCATGCATTCAGGCGGCGTGAGGAAGAGGAGGGGTTCGAAGGTCAGCTTAGAGGCCTCCTCACCCCAGCTGCTGTATCGCCATCTACGCCCTGCTGGACAACACGCACACACGCACGCACACGTATGACCTCTGAGCCTATTTTCACACGCTCCCTGCAGAAAGGTCCAGCTGTCAGCACTGGTGGCTTCTTTTTCTTCTTCAACTTAATTTTCCCCTTCTTCCTCTTCTTCCTCTCATGTCCCTCACTTTCCCTCCTTCATCCCTCTTCCTCTCCTCCTCCTCTCCTCTCCTCCTCCTCTTCCTCTCGTCCTCCTCTTCCTCTCTCCTTCCTCCTTCATCACAAATCAGGTTGAAGAAGCCACTTTCACCTACTTTCCTATACTTTACCTCCTTGCTCCTTCCAGGCCCTCCCTTCTTCCTTAGGGGGAGGGGGGGGCAACAATGGGACGCTGCTCCTTCCTCCCCTCCTCCCCACCCACCTCCACATCTGTGAGTGCCCCTCTGTCTCCTCATTCTTCTCCCTAACCGCTCCATTATTGGGCCTCTTTCACTTGTAAATGCAGCCAGCGATACTTCTGATGGGTCTTTTATGCAGGCGGCCGGGGTCAGGAGAAAGGTAGGGGCTGCGGAGGAGGGGGGGGCTCAATGAGGGGGTGGGTCAGGGTTGAGGGTGGCAAAGGGGGGGTCTTGAGGGAGTCTTGTGCAGTTTTTTCTTGCAGGCCAAAGTGTGAGGGGACAATTGTGACAAAGAGTTAAATCCTTTTTTGTGTGTG